GCATAAAGTGTGCGGTCTGTAGAGAGTGGGAAAGGCGAAACCACTGTCCAACTAAACCAGCTTGTACCGGTTCTGGTGGTATCAGGGACTCATGGATACCAGTCAAGCAAAAGTTGATAAGGCTCGGGAGCTCCGACACTTCATACAGCTCATCTCTCTATTCCCAAGTTTGAGTATATCCACACATGAAACAAAAAAGGGGCGGGACAAACTCACATAGTACTCCCCATCAACACAAAGGTTACGCAAAGCAGTTAGATGTTGTGAGATGTGAGAGAGCGGCGGACGACACGGCTCCCCAAGCTCAACCGGCGAAAAGAGCGTGAGGGTCATAAGTCTGGCCAAACTCTGACCGAAAGCAAGAGAAGGAGGCCGAGTCGGGGAGGTCCTCCGCGACCGAGTAGCTGCCCAGTATATACACGAGATATTTGGCCTATCCCGAACGAACGTCTCGATACCTGCTCTATTCCCGCCAAATACTCTAGTCTTCTGACATACAGAAGGAGGGATAGATAACTGAGGCCCTGCCCACCGCAGCCCGGAACCGGGCCAGTGACCAAAAAGGGCAATGCTCAATATCTCGGTCTGTTCGAGAAGAAACTCGAACAGGTTTCCCTCTTGGATTGGTCCGGGGCGTGCAAGGCTGAAGCCACTCAGCTGGAATGGACAACCCAAAAGCCCTTGCAGGTACAAAGGTGGAGGATGTGTCAGGCTTAGAAATGGTTAAATTGTTCATGGTATGAAATGCAGGAGCGAGGAGCGGCCAAAATGGGTCGTCAACTGGCAATTCGATGATGAAAGTGCGCAAGTGACGGGCGAGGGATGGGTTGTGTGTAATAGTGGTGAGCCATTGACTTGCGCGGTCCACCCCCAATTGCGACGTCTGAGGCGCGTTTTCAGCTCCAAATTTCAGGTCTATATATGAATAAAGATGTTTCTGGGCGGGGCACACGCAGCTGTGCGAGACCAGACATAGAGAGAGTAGGCTAGATAGATCGGATGAAGAGAATTCGATGATGTCCTCGATGAGTTCGCTGAAGACGAGCTGGGTAGAATAAGCATGCGGTGTCGGGGTCATCTTGTTCTTTTGACAATCAGGTTGGAGGATGAGAGTAGACAGGTCTCCCGTAGCAAGGTTATGAGATGTGGCAGCCAGTCCTTCTACATGTGGCCCCTTGTCAGTCGATCTCGCGAGGCGTTATGTAGCCTTCGTTCCAGTGAAACGCGATTGTGCCATACCCAGTGTAGAGGCTGTAGCATAAGAGCATGAACGGGAGATACCCGAACAAACAATTGTATACAAATATGTTTCCCCGTCCACCTTCACTCTCTGTGGGTGTATATGGACAAGTTCAAGAGCCCTCCTTTCCTTCTGCTTCCACCAGAACTACTCTCCAAAATCTCTATATACCTCGACTACAGGAGCCTGATCGACATTCGACTGGTAGTTCGAAACCTTCCAGGCTGAGTCAAGTCATTTTGTTGACATATTCAAGACCTGCAGGTGTTTTCACAATGCAACGAATTCCCGACACTTTTGGCGCACTACAGCTAGTCATGTTCAGTTGAGCTTAGCACCAGTGGTCCAATTGGATGGTTACTCAGGCCAAGAATTGATGCGATGGGCATTGCGCAGCCTCCGTGCTCGAGCTTGCCTAGACTCCTCTGGCCCGCTTCGTTTCCGTTCCCGGACCATTGCTTATACTTATCGTGCGGCCCATGTTAATAAAGCCAAACTCCTTCTTGGTGGACGATGGCTTTTTTCGGTCTACGACAATGGCTCAGCGTTCATGGTGGATTTGGATCAAGCACAACCTCAGCCTCAGTTTCTACTCAGGCACATGTTTTCTTGGAAGACCAGAGTCTTGTACCTGGATTGACAGAGAAAGTCTATCGTTGTCTTTTCGCGTAGAAATCTACAGCTGGCATATGGAGGTAAGCAGTACGTTTGTCTGAAATGCCCCGTATGCAAGGACTGATCAACTTTACTGCAGGGGAGACACATCCACATATACCGTATTGACAATGTTGGCGAAGGCCCTAACACCCTCTTTGTTGCAACCCGTCTATTGGTTATCCGGGAGAATCCTCGTCGGGCCATACGATACGCGAGCGCCCTTTCTGCGAAGCATTTTGTCCAATATGTCATACAATGTGGTAACGAGGAAGAGGAAAGTGTGGGGGAACTATGGCTGTATTGGTATCCACGTAAGGCGGGCGCCCTCGCATCCGTGACGTCAGAGAATCCGGTCGCACCAACTTGGCCGGTGAGTTTTGTAAAAGATGACATACTGGTGACTGACAGTCCTCAGTGTCAGCTGTTCTTTCTACCTGGTGAATGTATTGGTTTT